CAAATCCTTTAAAGCGAATTCACTTAATTTAACACTCTTATAAAATATACTATATGTAAATTGAAATGAATTGCCTTGCTCTTATAAAATATAAGATTCCATGAGAGAGAATTGCCAAAATTCCTTAAGCTGAATAGCCTCTAGTAAAATGTAAGCTTTTATAATATTTAGATATGTCAACCCATAGTAAGGGGTAGCTAAAAGTGGACTCAAAAATGTGAACTACTCTTGATTAGTATTTGAAAGAGCTGCCATATCAATATTTGCCTGCTTTATAATAGTTAAGGCGGGAAAATTAATTAACGTCTATATAAAAACAAATATAATTAGGTTTAAGAGTTCATTCCATAATTTTGTGTATACATATAAATATTTACATATTGTTGTATATGAATATAATTTACATTAGATCCCTATTAGATAATACGTGCGACTTAAGCTCATCTTTAAATAAGTAGTATAACTAAACTAATAATATACGAAATATAAAATACAAATTAGATAATTTGAGACAATCTTAATATTATTATTAAAACTCTTGGACATTCAGCTCGCTAAAAGATAGAAAACACGTGCTTATGTAAAGCGTGCCAAAAGATGATATCTTGCAGTTCACGTTGAAGTCTCGGGATTGCAAGGTCAGCGGGACAAGAGATTGTGATAAGGGAGCCATGAAGATACAATGCACATGATAAACGGAGAGAATTACAATTTGTTGTACTGTAAACACGCTTAACGGTTACCGTACAAAATTATGATCGTTTAACATAAATAGTGGGATTATATATATTTTTTATTCGAACTTCTTTCATTTAAATTTCATACATTTTCGAAGAGAAACTTTTTAACCAATGGAATATTTTTCCGTAAGAGTTGTGAGAGGCGGCAGCTGCAATTGAAATGCCCTATGTATGCATGCGTGTATAAGTGTATGGTGTAAAGTAAGTCCTAAATTTAACACGAGAGGAATTTCTTATGGAAAATTCCCACACATTCACAGATATACAGACTTTGCCATGTGGAGAAATGCAAGCATTTTGAAAAATAAATGTAAAAGGCAACAGCGAATCGAAAATCGAAATTTTCCATTCGTTTGTCGAACGCGTTGTGCGATGGATGCACTGAAGAGTCAATACCCCCGTACCCCTGATTGCTCTTACGTGCTCTTATTCGCTCTCTTCATCTCACGGCCTGCACACACGCGCACACACATATATACAAACACTCACGCCGCAACGCTTTCGCGTACATCGATTCTGTTTTTAAAATCAATTTCAAGTTTCATCTTATTTTGTGGTTGTTGTTTTTCTTATTTCTTTTGCTCTCTTTTCGTTTGCCATTTCTCTACTCTCTGTGTGCATGTGACTACGATCATTGGACTTTGGGCATGTCGACCTACAAGTGGAACTTGCCAGAACCTCCTGGTTCCGCCTCTGCCTCGCTCTGGTTAATGCACTTAGTTACTCTGCACGTTTTCACAAATACCTCGTGAAAGGAAGGCAGATTGCCAAAAAGGTGCCAACGACTTGATTTCCGATTTGGCTATAGGTTAATCGTGTTATATGCAGTACACATTGTTACTTTAAATATAAATGTTATATATATATATATATATATATATATATAAGCATATATGTAAGTACGTAAGTACATTTTTTTTCGATTAGATATGTCTTATAAAATAAATTCCCTTAAATATATATACATATGGTAATTAAACACTCAGCTGATAACTGCGTTTTTCCTGTGTTCTGTGCTGTCCGCCCTCACGTTAACAGTTAGCTAACAACATTTACACTTTCCACTTGGTCACATGTGCGACTTTACTCAACTAACATTCACACCAACTCGTTATACAGCAAAATATCCCAAATGAACGCTTTCACAAAAAATCCTTCATAAGCCTAAGTCATTGCAACAGCGTGCAAAGCTCAATAATTGTTTTTTGCGCAATTCGGCCCTCGCAGCCTATGCTGAGCGATGCATTTAAGAGCACAGTGTACACAGCGAAGAGTAGAGAACGCAAATCTAGGGTAAGAAGCAAGAGCGAGCCGGTTTTGGGGGCACGTTCGTTTCATCGTTGTTGTTGTTGTTGCTGCTGGTGCTGGTGCTTTGGCATACAAGACAAGCCCCCGTGCGTGACGTCACGTAAACGCAACCGTTACAGTAAAGCGAAAGAGAAGAAGAAGAGACGAAAACGAGTTATGTTCATTGGGCGATAAATGTGCAAGGCAACAAATGGAGAGGAGTTCGGCGAAATGCGACGGTCAGAGAATGACGATTCGTGCAACGTGATTTGCGAAATGAAGGCAATTGATCAATCAGCAATGGAAGCAGCGTGAAAAACAAACTGGAAAATAGGGAAAGAGTAAGTGCATTACCATGTGACCGCTTTTTCACTAATTAGACGCAGCTATCGAAAATGGATAGCCCCTCCCGCTCCCCGGCACGCGTGTCACATGTGTGATAAGTGTCGAGCAGTAATATTGTTAATTTCAGACACAAAACTGCTAACTTCTAACAATTGTCATGCCGCGAACAGTTCGGCCGTTTACCCGCTTACCCGATTACCCGCTCACCCGTTAACCTTGAACTTAACACTCGTCGCCCAGTCACAAGTTACATAAGGCGCAGACACAGAGCGGCAGGGGAACAAGGGAGGGAGACAACAAGAGACGGCAAATTTGCATATCTCGCCTAGTAGGCGCGCTGAGTCTGAATGCATTAGGCCCGGTTCACTGGCGTCTAGTCAGGTGTTGCAAACCGGAATTTGAATTGTTTAAACGTTGTTATATTTATAGATGTCTGGTCGGATCAGCCGACTTGACTAATAAAAATATTTCAGATGCCAGTTGAACAGGTTTATCATGCTTCATCACCCCCCATCACTCTCTCTTTCTCTCTCTCTCTTCGTCTCTTACATTTGCCCTTTGATGAAATAAAGCACGTCTATTGCGTTATATGATTTTGTTCAATTGAACTAGTGCAAAGCGGAGCGAATCTGTGTTGCAATTGTGGAATATTTAATTGAACTAATCGAAGCATAGCTGAAGACGAAAGAAGGCGAAAAAAAAGTCACACATATATATATGTTATCTAGTTATATACTTAATAATCTATGAACTAAAAATATAGTTTAATCGCTTATAAAATTTTTAATTGGTTTTTAATGATTAGGCCATAAAGAGGTGTACTAAAATGGTATTAATAAAAAGTAGAACAATAAAAATCCGTTTTGGGATCATTTGCTTCGATTCATTGATTCAATTGAGTGATAGAGACTACAACTGTTTCAGTATAAATAAATTAAATGTGATTGTAACAGATATATATATATATATATATATATATATATATATATATATATATATATATATATATATATATAGATATATATCTAATACATGTAGAGTATGACTAAAATCATGTCAATTTGAGCGAAAGAGCTTACCTGTTAAGTTATATACTCTACAATCCTTCAGCAGTTACAGTTATTATATCCAGTATTCCAGTCTACCTTCCAGTCATGACTTTTATACTTTTCACTGAATATATATCGCAGCAGAAAATGGTTATTAAAAGTAACTACCTATATACAGTTAGCATTCTGTAGTCGGGAGTTGGAAAATTACAGTCAACATTCCACTCCAATAGAATTCTTCTTATTATGTAACGCTCGCAAGTCACCTGAGTTTCTCGGTTCTCGGTGCTCGGTTCTCGATTCGAAGTCTGCGTTTCTATCGCGTCACTTGTCACGTTTCATTTGTCTGCGCCGTTTCACTACCACCTGACTATGCACATTTTTAATTAGCTCGTTTTAATCGCTGTCGTCTGACTGTCGCTTTCCATACTCGTTTGCCCATTTGGTCAGAGATGCTTGAGGCGGACACACCTTCCTTTTATCGGCCCTATCGGACCCAATCGCACTTAAACAGCATTGATAAGAAACAAAACGGCAGTGCTCAACTGCCAGATACCCTGTATTGAATTATTATTTAGTCGAATCTTTCTACAAAATGAACTAACTCAATTGACCAGCTAATTAAAATGAGCTAGCAACTTTACTCTATTAGACGATTGATCAAAATTAATGCATTTCATGGGTTCTACAATGGGAACAAGTGAACTTATTCATTTGAAAAGTTCATTAACAGTTTATTTATTCTAGTGAACAGTTCTTCAAAATAAACTAGTGAACTTATTCACTTGGTTTACTTAAATTTATTCCATAAAGCAGTTTATCAAAATGAATCAGTTAAATTATTCAATGGAACCAGTCAACTAAATGAACTAGTTAAGTTATGCATTGATTTGTGAACAATGCAGTTCAATTGTTCAATAGATCCATACATTCTGTATGAAGTCCCAATACACCCCATTTCTTAGACACTCATTTAATACAGGGTATAGAGAAAACAACTGTGCAGTTAATTAATTGACTCACTCGAATTGTTATACCCGGAACCCATTGAACATACGAATTCAGGGTATAATGATTTTGTGAAAATGTATGTAACAGGCAGAAGGAGGCGTGGCAGAGCCCTCAGCTGCTATATGTATGTGTTGGTGTAGCTTCAAGTCGGGAACAACACTGAAAACAGTGTTGGGTAATGTATGGCTATGATTAAGTTCTATTTATTGCTTTATATTGTATATCTTGCAAAACAAGTATCGTAGCTCATTTAATATAGTTTATCAGTGTTGAAAACAGTGTTGGCTAATGTTGATTTTTTTGTATTCTATATATTCTAAATTCTATCATGTATCGTCTACTATGACATACAAACATAACATAAAATATAAACAGTGCTGAAAACAGTGTTGGGTAATGTGGCATAAAATATCTAATAATGTGTTTTCTCTCAATTTTTCACTCTAGTTTCATGCAGTGTTGTACCAGTGTGCGCCGGCCCCCATAACAAAACAAGCCCTCGTCAGATATATATATACTATATATATACATATAAATATATGAACGATGTGTGGTTTTATGTGTGAGCAGTAATTGTTTATTGACTTGATTGGCCTTAACTTGCACAGACAATCATTTTATTGTTATTATAGAAAACACATATGAATTCAGATGAAATCTAATGTCGATCGCTGAATTGAACGGCTGCGTAATGCTCTAGCCCTAGTCAAGTTTCTCGAAGAAGACCTGAGTCAGGGTGCGTGCAATGCCGTAGGCATAGAAGGTAAAGTCCAGACGATAGACACCTGTTGGCACCGGCATATTCACCTTGGTAAAGTCCAAGGCAAATTTGTCCACCATCATGTAATTCTAAGGAGTTGATCGATTAATTGACCGATAGATTGACTGGCTGACTGACTGACTGTCTGGCTTACCTCAGTCCAGGGACAGGAGTGATTGAAGTTGCTATGCTCCCTGATCGTATCGAAGACGAATCTCTCGAATGACAGCCGATACTTGCGGGCGGCCATCAGCTTGCAGAAATCGAAGAGTATGTTATAGACGAAGGGACGATAGCCATCACTGCGCTGGAAGCACTGCAGCCGGGTCGTCAGGTTCGTGATGGGCAGCTGCAACAGGCTGACCTTCAACGACAGCTCCACCTGATTGCGTCGCACCACCTTCAGACGGCAATAATCGTAGCGGCAGAAGCCCGCATTTGTCGGCAGCTCCAAGCACTTGACATTCGTAAACTTCAAAAGGCGTGCATGCTAGGTAGGGTTTATCAATCAGTTGGTTATTGGCTAAACTAACAGCTAGTGTCTCTCTCTCTCTCTCTCCTTCTCTCTCTCACTCGCTCTCTCTTCCGCTTACCGCTGCCTCATTGAGCAACATCCATAGTCCCAGTTGTAGCCACATAGCACGCATTTTTCTATCTAATTTCCATTTCGAATTTCGGACTTGTAACATCCATACTATAGCACTTTAGCGCTATGGCTAATATATGTGCCATTTAATAATCGATTAGCAACAGGTTATTTACCTGCTCCAGGTAGCTTATCAAAATTAAAGCTCAATTTTTTGATAGCAAAGCAAATAGCAAATGAATGTCCATTATCATTGTCAGTGGGAGGGAGACAGAGCGACAGTCTCTCTCTGTCTCCCTCCCACTAATACCGCACTGTCTTTCTGTCTCCCTTTCACTGATAATGCGTGTGTGTGTGAGAGAGGGAAAGGATATAGAGAATGAGGCTCACTCTCTGCCTGAGGGAGACGGATTCGAAGTCAAAGTGCAATCAAGGGAACTTTATCTTTCCGTTCTTATCAGGGAATTCTCTGCTAAGAAAATTCCTTCTTAGACATCATGATGATGATCCATAGATAACTGATCATGATCATGGAAATTTATATATATGATTTTTAATATATGTTTCTGTTTCAGTTCAAAGACCAATAGCCTACTTAAGTTTAAGGCGCAATTTGTAGTGTTCCATCGGCTGTTGACTTCGTTAGCTGAAATTCGCGGAAAAACCTTATAAGTAATGTTAACAATTTCCTGTTGTGGGTTTTCAATTACAAAACGCAACAACAACAATACAAAAAGAAAAAAGTCTCTTGTGCTTTTTCACACCAAATATGAACAAAATACAACAACAGAACAGCACACATAATTCTTTGACTCATTCAGTGCTAGCTCCACTTGGCTCCGCCCCCTCGGCCCCTCAGTCCCTGTTGCTGTGCATCATTTCTTTTATTTTCATTTTCCATTCGCCATTTCTGCCGTCGTCAGCAGCCGCCTTTGGCCCAGCCACTGTGGCGTATACTTGTTAAATGACGACGCTCTCGATCGTCGTACGAATCATGCGAAATACTCTGCTGAAATGCAGCAAACGGTTATATGCCTATGCAGAATGCCAGCTCATATGCTGCTGCATTTTAATTTTGTTATTATTCACTAAATTGATATATCTAAATATATATGCATATAATTATTTTCCTACTCCATTTATTTATTTTATTTTTTTTAAATTTTTTAATTTGTGTATTTATAACGTATTCACCACTCTCCCAGCAACGTTTAATGTAATCAACAGCAATTCCAATTGGAAACCACAGCTAGTTAAGGCAAGTCTAATCAGAATACATGCGTTGCCTTTAACGTTCAAAAGTAAACTACAGTTGTATCTTTTAAAAGTGTCAAATTAACAATTTTTTGTTTATCATTTATTTATTTGTTATTTATTGATTATTTTTCTTCTTAGCTGTAAATCAATTGTAACTTTCTTGACTGTCTTAGAGAGTATCTCTAAGTCGATAACAGGTGCTAGAGTCAGCGTACTTACCTGTGTTTTGTTTTACTTTTTATGTAGGCAGTACGTATTATAAATTTATGCAAACGCGTTCAGATTTCGAAATGTCAACACCAACACCTGCACCTGAAATTAGCGCAGCTCAGGTGATGCCTAAGCACACGTACACACATACACACACAGAGAGTCGGAGCATAGCTTTTGCATTGCCTTGGCAAATTTACAAAAATTCTCAGAATTATTTTTTATAATTTTTATTGTTTTTAGGTGAAAACCGATGCGTTTCCAATTGGGAAAGTCAGTGACCTCTCCCACGAACAGGCGAATCTGATTTGGATCACATACGCGCGCTTAAACCATATTTAACTCAATATTGAATGAAGCGACAAAAAAACATGTGTATATATGTGTGTGTGTGTGTGTGTGTGTGTGAACTGTTGAATGAACGCGAATTAAATCGCAATGCGATAAGAGTGCACATCAAATTGCAACTTGCAATTTGCGAAATCTGCGAATTCGTAACCAGAGAGAAACGGGAAACAGTATTAAGTCAACTTTTACACATAATTCAATTGTTCTACCAACGCATAACATTTGAAATAATATCTGCGAACTTTGCGCAATAAGTAGTCCCATCTCTCTCACACTCACTCTCACTCTCGTCAAGCAAGCCTCTAATGAAGTGTTGACAAATAAGACAGCTGCAAGTGGTTGACTTTATATAACACTTATTTTTGCTGTTGCTACTAAGTCACATTTAATGTATTACGTAGCACACACGTCTAATTGACGACAAATGCTTTTTGCTTACGTCTTTCCTCGTGGATTCTCTTCTATTGTAATTCTCAACTGCCTGTTACTCGATCGCTGACGTATTTATAACTTTTCGCTGTTCTCTTTTCTTGCAGATTCGTGTTTACGTTGCCAGGCGGAGAACAAACGGGATGTGTTGGGTCGTCAGGATTGTGTTGTTGTTTGGGGCGAGTGTAATCACTCGTTTCATCACTGTTGCATGTCGCTGTGGGTCAAGCAAAACAATCGCTGCCCGCTGTGCCAGCAGGAATGGTCCATTCAGCGCATGGGCAAATAAGCCATGGCTGCATCTCTCACTATAACAATAATTAAGCTAAAGAGCATGTTAACGTTTCTGATATAAGCAATAACCTAGATCCATTTTAAACTGTCAAGCTGAATAAATACAAAAGTAAAACAAGACTAAGAAAGAGAACACCATGCAACCTGCGTTTTTCTCTGGACTTGAACCCCGAACTTCTACCAACACCACCACTCCATTTTTGCGTTATTACGTGCTAATTCAAGTAAAGTAGTAGCTAGTTATTCAACCACAATTCTATCACAAATTCAATTTTTTGAATATTGCGTGCGCATGTATAGGACAGATGCGTTTTGTTTAGTAACTTCTGTGTTAGCTAACGGATTTCTATGAAAATTTTTATAATATATTCTACGTATTCTATTGGAGTACTTGTCACCTGATGCAAAATCTTTCACATATTGATGTTATTTTCAACTGAACTTCACTTTAAAATCCAAAATATAACATAAATCAAAATTGACTAAAATATACATAAAACTAAATAGAAAATTGTAAGATTCTTGCTCTTAGGCCATCCAAGTTATAATATAATAAATATATTTCTATCATGCTTTTAATCGATATGTCTGTTACATACATTTCAACAAACGCATTATATTCTAATTTCCCATTTTGAACGGGAATAGAGTATAATATATACAAACAAAAATAATTTTTAAAAATAAAAAAATTACATGCCCCGGGTGAGGCTCGAACTCACGACCTTAAGATTATGAGACTTACGCGCTGCCAACTGCGCCACCGAGGCCATGTATATCCTCACGTTTAACAAAATACTTAATTCAGAATTGTTCTAGACGCATTCAAGTTGTTTGTACAGCTTTGAATATACTTAGAACGGTTTTCATTTTTTTGTAAGCAACCAGCAGGCGCAACGAGCTTTTGCTTTGAATAGGTTGAAAAAACTCCACTTGGCTTGTATAAGTTATTGGCGAACCGTCCACCACCTGTCCCTTTGGCGCAGAGGATAGCGCGTTGGACTTCTAATCCAAAGGTCGCGGGTTCGATCCCCGCAAGGGATGTAAAAGTGACATCAATTTTTTTTTTACTATTTTATTCAACTATAATTTTATTTTACATTCCTTATAATTAGGTAACAACCTATTCAGCAATCACGCCTTCGGCTGCAATGACGGTGATAAATTTCGCTCTAGCACGGAGCTAGACAACTTTAATTTCTCCACATTAACTGCGTTTTCTACTAAATTTTCAGCAACTTGGCGCTGAGAGCGGATCTCTTGTATGGAAGCTATAATTAAAATAGATTAATGATTAGGGAATGTTATGTGGTTACGGGTAAAAATGTCACTTACGACTATATGGCGTGTATTTGTCGGATAGAAGACTTTCTAAATTATAACCAACGAAGCCAACGACGGCAGCAGCTGGTAAAGTGATATAAACAGCATTGCGCCGCAGGAGAGCCATAATTATTGGCCACATTTTTGTTTTTTATTTGTTGATCAAATAATGCAGGAAAGATTTTTGACGGAAAAGACAACAACCCAATGCATTCAGCATATTCACCCAATATACTAAACGTATTAAATTTGGGCACAAAATATGGTAACACTCACAGCACCGGCGAATGGTGGATTTCAATGCCCTAATGTGGAAATTGTACAAATATATATTCTATCTTTTACCTACAGCGTAAAATATCGTTACCTTAAAATCAATTAATAATTTATATATAAAATAGTTCGAATTGTAAATAATGCAATATTTTATTTTATCCGCGCATTTTCGATTTTGTTATCGATAGTTAATAATGCACAAGGTTCTGTTTTAAATAGCATATAAGTAAAACAACTTAAATATTAAATTTTAATTTGTTTTGTAAGCAGCTAAGACATATGCAAATAATGCAATATTTTATAATTTATATCATTCTACATTGCTTTCGAATATGATTTCATAAATTTAAAAAGCTTTGTATCGATTGGTAGCAGTGTGGTAAAGTCTCGAGAGATTATCTTGGTAAATCGATGCATCTCGTATAAAACGTATCGTATTTAATTCTTACTGCACAGTATGTATTTCATTAATATTTTATAACGTACGATAGCCATTTAATCGAATAAGTGGCTTGCATTTCAATTCCTGTTAGTTAACATAACTTTTTACATTTTACAGCTGACCTTGTTGTTTATAGATCATCGTATATTGCATGTCCCCAATAGAGATGAACAGAAACGTAGCACAGCTGATTTGCATCGATTCATCGGATTCATCGCTACTTTATGGTTATCTCGTCGAAATTTTCACAAGAAAAATAAACATAAACAGAACAAAGTTAGAGCGAGACGCGCAAAGAGTGGTGAAACGTATTTAATGTTATTGCAAATTTTCATTGAAATGTTGCAATCGCAAAGCAAACTCGTAATTGAGAACAGATAAAAATAATATCTTATCGTTGTGTATATATTATATACGTTAAGCAAGTGTAATGTGCATAAAAATAACTGCAAATAACAATCGAAAACAAAATGAAAAAAGTGCTCGACAGGGAAAAAGTTATTTACGCATTAGGAACAAGTCAGCTTAATTACACTTTCAGTTGGTTATAATGTATAATTACAACGACGTAAGAGCAGCAGCAGCAGCAGCAACATCGCTAAAGAACAAAGAACTCCAGTGCATTAATAACCAACTGGTGCAAACGCAGCAGCAGCACCAACAAACACAAAAACAACAAGGGCAGCAGCCGCAGTGCGACGCATAATTTCCTGCTTACCCACACTCTCTCACACACACACAGGCACTAAAGAGCGTGTGCTGTTGCGCGCGTGGGAAGAGGACGCCGTAACGGCCGGCCAACAAAGAAAAATATCTCCGCAATAGAGAGCGCGAGCGAGAGAGAGGGACTGAGAGAGAGACAGAGAGGGCAACGACAGCAATTCGTATCGCAAAAAATGACCAATTCGAACCATCGCCATCATCGAATCGATGTAAGTAGAATATCTTATGTGCATTATATATAAATATCCCTGTACGGTTGCAAGCAAATAAGTTTGCATGTGTATCTAAATATATGTATGTTGCTCCATTCACACGAAAAGCGTCATAAAACGTAAAGAAAACAGAACCTTGTTTACTTTGTGTAGCCTAAACCCATATTGGAAACGCGTATGAAACTCTGGTGTTTCCTTTACTTTGTCTCGTCTGTTTAGCTGACTGGGAATGCAATTTAAGCGCAGTACCGACAATAATCAAAGCAATAAAAGCCAAAAGCAACAATAAACAGCTTCATTGCCTCTCATTGGCTATTTCATTTAAAACGTATATATATATATATATATATATATATATATGTGTGTGTATGCATGTGTGTGCGTGTGAATGTGTGTTCATAGTTGTTGCTCTTTTGTTTGCGCGCATCGGCCACAACACTCATCCAAACATATGCATGCACACAGACACAAACTCCAGACAGTGAGACAGTCAGTCAAACAAGATTACCGCCCTTTGCTCTGCTCCTCCCCCATACACGGTTGCAGTTGTGTTATGCTCTCACGCACACACTCACACACACACATATATATATCTATATATATATATATATATATTTCCTTTTATGATTTCTTCTTTACATTTTTGTAGCAAAGTTGGTTCTTTGTCAGAGCAAAATGTCGCCTTTGTTGGCGCTTCACGCTGTTGCTCTCATGCCCTAGCCGCTCCTAAAAGTGTAAGTGGCTGCTACCCAACCCCGAACTTGTCCCAATGTTTGTCTTTTAACACAAGTTAACAGCGACTTAAGCAAAAGTGCAATAAACTCGTTGACGTCGACCCCACTGTCGTAACTGTTCCCATCCAGTCTAGCTCAAGCTAATGACCAATGCTAGGAACTTCTTTGAAGTCTTCAATACATATACACATGCATACATACAAAAGAACATTAGGGTAAGAGTGTGTTTGACTCAGCGCTAGACATCTAATTGGAAGCAGAGTACAACAGCCCGCAACCCACTCTCCTCTTATAGAGTTGCCCAACCCATGCTAATTGCCTGAAGGGGAAGTCGTCGATTTGCGTTGTGGCTATCAGTCTCAGCTGTCGAAAATGGATTTAAAATGTGCATGAGTCAATGTATATGTGTGTTAGCTTACAGTTAGATTCCGTCTGGGTTGCTGTTGAAAACTAGTTAACGGCAATAACAACAAATGCAAACATTGACCACAGGGCTTTTCAGCGGAAAAACAGCTGACATGAAAGTACAACTGTCTGGCAGCACTATGCATGCAGTTAAAAAGTGAATGCAAACATACATATGTATGTAAAATACAGCCATTCATAGTGTTAGTGCTGGTGTTGGTGGCGCTTTAAACGCAGCAGTGGAATTTTAGTTGGTTCCATGCCGACATTTGTTTTTGTTTGTCAAACGCTTGTGCTCTCTCACACTCACTCTCTCGCTAGTTCGCTCTGTCATCGGCACTCGTACATACATATACACTCATACCAACGCTCTCATTGAGACTTTCGTGTTGTTATTTTTGTGGGTGCATTGCACCGCCCCCTCTCACGCATCTGGCGTGCGCTCTATAGTATCTGCTTGTGTGTGTAAGTGTGACCCCACATGCATTTTCGAGGCCCGAGCAGAGCGCATTCGAGCTGCAGCTGTTTGCTGCTCGCTCAGTTACCATTCTGTGCTCTGTTGTTATCCATGTCGACGCGTTGTTGCGGTCGTCGCTGCGCTGTCATTGTCTCGCGTGTCTGCATTTACTCTGGTTGTGTGAATTTGGTTTTTCCAGCGCATCCACATAACAAAAAGTAAAATTTATTTGTGTAAAAATCTTTGAAATTCTTTTGCTGAATTGGTGCGCGTACTATGTAAACGTCGCACAGTAATCAAATAAAGCAAATTCAGAGGAAATTAAACAGTAACAAATGGTACGCGAAGTTTTTTTATATTTTATTTATTTATTTACTGCTGTTTTTTTTTTACTATCAACTGGACATGTAAAAACGTAACTTAAAATGTGTTAGTGCCTGCTCTTATACGTGCGCGTGTGTGTGTGTGTGACTGTTTGGTGTTTTTGCATATAACACTTTATTACAGTTGCCATTAGTTTTTTTTTTCTAGTGTGTCGTCAGCTGTTCTCTGTTCTTTATCGCTGTCTGTTTTGCACTCCAACGGCAGTGCCCTCACACTGCTGCAAAAGGGAAATTGTTATGCTTTTGTAATTTAGTTGACTCTCTGTGTCTGTGGTGATAAGATTTTATTCTTTTTCATTGTTTTTATTGCGTCTCGCTTTTGATTGTTATTTGCGTGCTCGCATAATACTTTTAGGTACATGCATGCAGAAACACGCAGACAGATGCATGTACATACATACATACATTGTACATATGTACATTCATATAGATAGCTGTATGTAGCACAGATATGCACACGGATGACCCAGTTTTCGTTGACCTTGCGGCCTTCGAGAGGCCCATATACAGATTGTCATATACTTTTAGTGTACGCATGTACAAAAATATGTATGTGCGTATGTATGTATATCAGTGCAATAGACTTAACAATCGACACACAGCTGACTGCCTGAATGCCTGACTGGCTGGCTGGGCTATTTGATTTGGCCATGGCTTATATAAATACACTGCAATTCCCATTTTTTTACAATACAAATATAAATAGCTTTTATATGCATATGCATAGGTTAGTAGTTCTTCTGGCCATTACATTTTGTCGAGGTCGCTGTCCATAAAAGCATTAAAACAACATTGTTCGATATGCAGAGTTTGCATTTTAAATATTGTTTACTTTTTAAGACGATCAACACATTGTCTCTATCTTTGTTACACACAACCATACCTAAACACACACACATACTCTGTCTCTTCTCTTAGCACCTTTGTGCTTGTTCGCTTTTGCACCTCAATTGCGTGTACGATTCCAAATTGTTTTTGACATTATGCCTCTCAGCTGTTCGTAGAGCGTGTTTTTCTTCCTCTTCTTTTTTGTGGGTCTTTGGCTCTAGCTTCTACGTTCCTAACAAATCAGTGTACAATGTCCAGATAATAACCCAGAATCACGTATTCTGTTTACGTATGGTACGTACGTACGTACTTATGTTAGTGAGAGGGCAGTCTAAAAGCTTGTATGCATTATTAAATGCATATGTATATGTGAATGAAATTAGTTTTGATTAATGTAGTCAATGATAATATATAAAAGTAAATAGTTCTCAATATTTTTTAAAATCAAAAATATGTTTATGAATATAAATGTGTTGTCGACCCACCCTCGTGCAAACAATCAAATGTTCTGCAATCTGTGTGACCGTCGCATCTCATTGTAGCAACTGAAAAGTGTCCACCTAATCATGCGAAATGAATTGAAGCCATTTAGTTGAGTTAAAATAAATAAGAATTTTGATGTGAGATGATTTCACACAAGACATGAAATATGCGATAACTGTGCTCTTTCCCTCCCTCTTTCACTCTCTTTGTTGCCCTGCCATTGTGCTTACTGTATATCTAAGTGCATAGAAAGATTTGTATAGCAAATCGGTTACATAGATTCTCGTCGATTTGACAATATAAGAGTTGACCATATAAGAGCATGCGGATATTTGTTGTTGTGCGCCATCGATGCAAGGCTACAAATTAACATAGACATAAAGACATGAACATACAGCATGTGTGCCATCTATTTCTATGTACATTCATGGTACGTATGTATTTGACTTATATAAATGCCAATTTAATTCAAAAGCGTTGTCGCTCATCGCATGAGTCCTCCAATCAGCAATTTAAAGATCTTCAATGTGACGAATGAGGCATAGATATGCATACTAACATACATATGCGCTGCCAATAATAAGAGTTGAATTGAATATTAAGTGTGCGTGAACTCTCTTTTTTTGTTTGACTCTTGCTCGCTCTTTGATTTGGTTTCCTTAAACTTTGCTGTTGATAGATGAACACGGATCAAGTATGGGCGATTACTCTTATAAATTTATACAAGTATTTGCATTTATATCTTGAGCATAAACTTTCTTTATGAACTGTTTATTATGTTAATGTTATATTTGTGTGTTATTTCATCAATTGTATATTTCTGTATGGATGTATAAATACATATACATATACATATGTATGCGTGCTTATGTCTACATCTACATCTACATATACGTATGTGTTTGAGCTTTGCATGTATTTTTGGTTACTCGCTGGTTACTTCCAGTTATTGAGCCGATCATCAAGTTCCAATCAGCTGGCCTGCTATATGAGTGTATGTAGTTTTATTCTTTGGTCGCTTTACTCGAATTCGCAACACGTTCGATTGCCTTTTTAAATTGGCTTTGATGATTTTTCATTTAAGCTGAATGCCATACATTTTAAATATGTACATATATAAGGGGGTGGGGAGAGGGGGAGTTGGCGCATGGTCATTGACTGGTCGTCCGTTTTTGGGGCCTCAGTTGGAGGCATAACTCGAAGCGTGTGAGTTGTCAATTATGCACGAAGCAGAAAGATCAGTTGGCCATATAGGGTTTAGACAAATATTAATTGTATATGTATGTAAATTATATGTTTTCCAGTCCTGTGGTGACTGAAAGTTAGGTTGAGAGGCGACTGTGCCTCTTATTGCTGGCCTCGGGCTCAGACAATGAAATAAGCCATTTAACGAGCAAATGACGGAGTGAATATTTATTTAAGCGGTTTACTGGAAGAACGCTTTTTAACCCTGCTTTTAATTGTTCTTTTTTTGAATAATCGAAACAGTTAATTTTATTGGTTTTTCTTATTATATTCACTATTTTTAGTTTTACTTATATGACACCAATTTTTAGCATGTCCTATCAGTACGAGTTAAAACACGAGACTGATCTATATTTTTACAAATCATAGCCTCACCGGCGTAAGTAGAGTTGCTCTTGCCAGGGCTGTTCCTTAACATGTCTAGCACCCGATAATAAGTGTTGAATAATACCTTATATTAAGTGTTATAAGCTAACTAAGTGTTATAAGTTAACTACCCCCCCCCTCAAGTGTAAGGTCGTCCTCGACCGACCCAATTCCAGCGACGACTCCTCGCAAGTGCTTCGCGGACTTCTTTGCGTCGATGATCCACCAAAGAGTGAGGCCAATGCAGATTAAAGCACAGCATATGGCTCCTCTTTCGGAGTGCCGTACAACGGCACATCATCAAAGTGCACCATTTCGGTTCCTTGGTCGCATATTAGCAGCGGTGACCAGCGAGTCGGTGCAGGTGTTCTCGAATGAAATCCGCAAGTCGTTCTCATTCACATTCAATACGGAGCAGTATGAGCAGCGTACTGATTCTTCGCTATCGCCGTTCAGCAGGCGCTTACTAAGCTTGCTCTTGCGCCTACGTATGTGGCGTCTGTTGAAGCTGTTGGTGCCCGACGTGGACGTGAGCCTTGGCATCGGATGATGCACACCAAAGTTGTGCAGCCGCAGCGACTTGAGTGTGGCTGGCGCCGTCGATGACTGGCCGTGCACGTGCCCGTGATGGCCGTGATGACTGTGTCCCACCACTCCAGCGATGCTATGAGCCGTTACTGGACGAGTGATGTGTGTAGTCTGTCGGCGCGCTCAGCTGGCGATTGAATTCGGCCTTGCGGCGCGTCAAGTCCGTCAGGCAGTATTTGTTCAGATGGCCGTTGCTGGAGACAGGGCTCTTGGGCGATGATGCCAGATGCTGCGTATAGGCCGAAGGAGTTGCTGCTCACGCTTAGCTTATTGCCGGCGTTGTGCAGCAGATTGTTACAGTTCTTGCCGCTGATCTTGGCTGCCAGCGACTGCGACACCGGCCGACTTTTTGCTAGGCGCCCTGTACTCCTTGTCGTCGCTCTCGCTGCGCACCGATGCTCGATACGCAGGAAATGTCTTCGTCTTGCTCTTCAGCGAGCCGTTCAGCAGTAGCTGCTGTTGCCGTGCGGCAACTGCCGACAATGCCGGCCGCTGCAGTTGACGTGACGCCGCTGTGAAACTTCTTGAATTAATGCAGTTGGCGGTGTTTTGGGGATTTCTTGACTTGGTTCTAGTATGGATGAAGAGTCGCTTGGCTCTGCCGCCGCGAAGAACTCGTTAGTTGTTGCTTCTACTGTTGGTGGTGGTGCCGTGAACAAGGGGATTTCCTCAACGATTCCGCTTGTAGATTTGCCTGCTGTGGTTCTGGCTTAGCATCCAACTGTGGTGCGAATAGAGCTGTTGCTGGTCCTTGTGAAAATATGGGCAAACTCTGTGATGTTGGGAATAATGGAACTTCCGAAACAGGTGCAGTTGACGGTGGTGCAAATAGTGTAACCTCCTGATTTTGATTTGAAGAGCTCTTTAGCTCTTCCCTCTGAGTCGGTGACTTAAAAAGGTTGTTGCTTGTATCTGGTGTAAGTCCTTGTGTTGCGTTAGTCGGACTGGAAAAGAGAGGAACCTCCTGAAGTGTATCGGCTAGTGCTGGTGCAAAAAGCGATGTAGTTGCTTCGTGAGTCTGAAAGAGGCCCGTCGATGCCTGTGGTGTAAACAGCGATGTTGCTGGCCCAGTTGGGGGTGGTGCAGCCGCAACAGAGGAACTTCCTGGCTTGGCGCTGGTGCAGCTGACGGAGCTGGCGCTGTAAATAGGGCAACTTCTGTAGGCTGTGCTCCAAAAGGATTAAAAATAGCAGCAGGTGCTGCGAAGGGTGCAAAGGGCGTGGCTGTTAAAGCTGTTTGCTGGCCAAAGCCTGTTGCGGGCACTGCAGTTTCCTGAGCTGTCAGTGGACTCTTGTAGAGTCTGGTACCCTTCTGCAGGCGGTACGAGGAGTGTGCAGGTCCTGCCGCTGGTGGTGGTGCTGCTACTGCCGCTGGTGGGGGAGTTGCTGCAGCCACTGATGGCGGTGCAAACGTTGGAGTACTCTCGATTAAACCAGGTGCTTGAGCAGCTGTCAGTGGCTGAGGGACAGTGGCTACTTGGGTGACTGTCGGAGTCTGAGCGTATGTCGCTGGCGGAGCAGTTGCCCCAGGCTGAGTAAATGTCGGTGGTACCGCGGCTGGCGTTGGCTGAACACCGGTTGATTGCCCAGAAACAGCTGGTGCTGGCGTAAAGAAGTTACCAACAGACGGAGCTGCAGCAACTACGGAAGGATTGATGTAACCACCTACAGTGGGTGGTGCTACAGTGGGCGAAAAATAATCAGCAGCAGCAGGCGGAGCTGCAGGCGTAAAAAAGTTTGCAGGCGGCTGCGGTACGGCAGCGCCGGATGTGCTTATGTCAAAGTAGCCACCAGAATCAGCTGGATTGTAGCTGGCTGGTGGGGGTGGCGCAGGTTCGTTGGTTCTGCCTGTGGCCGATTGCACTAGACCCGAAATATTCTGTAACACGCCAGTGGGCACTAGACTAGTGAGTGAGAAGAGACCACCGCTCTTGCGTTCCTCTTGAACGGCTGGTGGTGCAGGCTGCTCGAATGCTGCTGCTGCCGCCGCTGCCGATGGCTGTGTGGGATATGGCGGTGCTTGGAAGGGATCAACAGCTGGCACTGGCTGCTGTTGCTGCTCGGAGAGACCTGGTATGGGTGCGTATAGCTTCTTTCTGGCACTAATGCGATAAGTGTTCTGTCCGGCCCCACGTTGGGCGCCAATTATATGTTTTCCAGTCCTGTGGTGACTGAAAGTTAGGTTGAGAGGCGACTGTGCCTCTTATTGCTGGCCTCGGGCTCAGACAATGAAATAAGCCATTTAACGAGCAAATGACGGAGTGAATATTTATTTAAGCGGTTTACTGGAAGAACGCTTTTTAACCCTGCTTTTAATTGTTCTTTTTTTGAATAATCGAAACAGTTAATTTTATTGGTTTTTCTTATTATATTCACTATTTTTAGTTTTACTTATATGACACCAATTTTTAGCATGTCCTATCAGTACGAGTTAAAACACGAGACTGATCTATATTTTTACAAATCATAGCCTCACCGGCGTAAGTAGAGTTGCTCTTGCCAGGGCTGTTCCTTAACATGTCTAGCACCCGATAATAAGTGTTGAATAATACCTTATATTAAGTGTTATAAGCTAACTAAGTGTTATAAGTTAACTTGTATGTATATGTATTACATTATAAAGAAATCCATTTGCATTAGCGTTTGCATTGTGACGACGTCAACCTTGGGTAATATTTTAATGTCTTTTAATATGTCTTTTTGTTGTTCTATTTCTCACGTGCGCGCCACGCGTAGCAATAAAGTAAAAAGCTAAAGCAGAATTCGAAACAAAAATAACAATAACAAACAAGAATAAGCAATTAAACAAATACAAGTTCCTGGTGTAAAATCAGCCAAAAAGTGCACTTGATACGAATAGAGGCGGCGCGAATGATTAACTAACGCTCTTCATTAAATACGCCATTCAAAGAGCAGCAAAGCAAAAGAGCGCTACGCAGTCTCTTAATCATACATTTATGGTTTGTTTTTGTTAAGCAGCCGAAGCAGCCACAAAAGACAAATAAAAGCCGAAGAGCGGGGGAAATATCACGACATACCCAAATACGCAATTTGTGAATAATTTAATCGTGCATTCACACGAAGACGCAAACAGCAGCGAGCGACGGATAACGTCTTTCTCTCTCGTTAAGTGAGCGAACGTCAGTCGAAGAGTTGAAGCTTTAAAGAAAACAAGGAATAAAAAGACTAAAGCGACGCTGTTAAACGCTATCTCTTCCCACTTGAAGAGCTTAAACGAACCCTTAATGTTTGCGCGTAGTGGTATTAGTGCTGCGCCCAACAGCGGCAGTGGCAGAGGCAGCGCTGATGACGGCGGCGGTGGCGGCAGCAGCGGTGGTGGTGGTGGTAGTGGGGGAGTCGCTGCTGGCAGTATTGAGTTGCTGTGTCCACCCAGCGGCAGTAGCAGCATTAGTGGCAGCGGCAGCTTCAGTAGCAGCGGCGCCAGTACAACGGCGACTAACAGCACCAGTGTCAGCGTCGGTGCGTCTACGCCTGCCGCAGCTTCGGACTTGTTGGACGACAGCGCTGAGAATAACAACAATGCGAATACCAATCGAAATTTGAGCTTACAGCTGAGCAACAGCAACAACAACAATGTGAACAACAATAGTAATCACAGCAATGGTAACGGGAGCGTCAGCGTCACTGGCAGCGGCAGTAGCAGCACCAATCTAATCAGCGGCATCTGCAGCAGCATTTGGCGCACAGCGACCTTTGGCAGCGCAGCGCCCATTGCTAGCATTATGGCAGCTAACAGTAATAGCACCAGCAGCAGCAGCAGTAGCAGCAGCAATAGCGGCAGTGTCAGTGGCAGCGGTGTTAGCGCCAGCTACTCGTCCAGCGCATCCTCAATTTCCCCAGCAGCCAATGAGGCGTGTGTTGTAGAGCAGAAGCAGCAACAGCAGCAGCGTACCCAATTGCAAATACAGCTCGGTGCGGAGCAGGACGAGCCCGTAAGATTAAACACAAAAGAAAACAAAGACAAAACAAAAAGAAAGAAAAAACAAAAAAAATGTTGCTTTGATTTTTGGTTTCCACTCCATTCACTCGATATGGCATCTCTCAGCGGTCATTCATCAAGGCTATCATTTTGTACATAGCCCCACGCCTCGCCTCGCTCCACAGCCTTGCCTATACCTTTGTTGTATACTCTCTTCTATCTTTTTCTCTCTCCCTCTCTGTCTTTCAGTCTCGAGCATTGTTCATCAATTAATTTGTTCTTTTCGTTTTTTTTTTTGAGAATTGTTTTTGGGGCAGCCTCAATTAAGATCGGAGTCAATTGTTTTGTTTTGGTACAGCAAACGCATTAAATTCTATTAAAAGACAAATCACTCCATATATTTACTTAGCTCTTGTGTGCATGTACAGTTGCTGATGATTTTGTCACAATTCGCAGCAAACATTCCTAGGCGCCACCGAACTGGACGATGAGCTAATCAAACAACTGCCAAAGGAGGTATTGCTACGCGTTTTCTCCTACCTGGACGTCGTCTCATTATGCCGCTGTGCCCAGGTGGGTCTCACAATTTCAATATGCATATAGATTAAACTAAATTAATTGTGCGTGGGGCATTGCAGGTGTGCAAATATTGGAATGTGCTCGCCTTGGACGGTTCCAGCTGGCAGAAAATCAATTTGTTCGATTTCCAACGTGATATCGAGGTATGTAATTAACAGTTATACATGGTTACATTAATTATCAATTTGCCTATTCTCTCACTCCGTACGACAGGGTCCGGTGATCGAGAATATATCGCAACGATGTGGCGGCTTTCTCAAATCCCTATCGCTACGTGGTTGCCAATCCGTGGGAGATCAGTCCATCAAGTAAGCTAAAAAAAGAGGATATATATAAAGAGGATTCAAGAAATGAGTGTGTTTTATTTGCTGCACTCAATCACATAGTCGCTCTCATTACTGTTAATGATGTGAAGTAAGCAAAAATAGAAGCAACGGAAACTTAAAGCTGTAGAATATGAGAAGAAAAAGAGTCACTCAAAATTATTCCAATGAGAGCACTAACGCAGTCAATTTTACTGCTAAAACAGCAGAAGCAGATCATAAGAAGAAAGCAAATCAAAACTTCACTCAAGAGAGAGAAAGAGAAAAAGAGCGAGTCAGGCACACAGAATGAGACGCTCTTAAATATAAAGCAAACGAAAATAGAACATCATCAATATAACGGGGTTACACAACTAACCCTTCAGTTCTGCTAAAGAGAGCTCTGCACGGAATAATGAGAGCGTTGATTGTTATCTCTTTGTGTCCGTCTAGTTGGATTTGTAACTTAAATTATAGGAGTTTGGAAGCCATGACATTTACTCAAGTTAATAATTCTGTAATAATTGAATGTAAATGTTTTTTTCATTATGTAGAACTCTAGCAAATCACTGCCACAACATAGAACACCTGGATCTGTCGGAGTGCAAGAAGATCACAGACAACTCGGTCACAGACATCAGCAGGTACTGCAGCAAACTGACGGCCATCAACTTGGACTCCTGTTCGAACATAACCGATAATAGCCTTAAATATATATCGGATGGCTGTCCAGTAAGCCAACTCGACATACTAAATAAAAATAATAACAAATTGCATTAATTTTTGTGACTTTTTGTAGAACCTGCTGGAGATTAATGTGTCCTGGTGTGATTTGGTGTCTGAGAATGGAATCGAGGCGCTGGCCCGCGGTTGTGTCAAACTGCGCAAGTTCAGCAGCAAAGGTTGTAAACAAATTAACGACAATGCCATCACGTGCCTGGCCAAATACTGTCCCGATCTAATGGTGCTAAATCTACACAGCTGCGAGGTAACGCCAATTGCAACTGGCTCATTAAGAATTTCTATCAGGCATCACAAACTAGTAAAAACATGTGAAATAATTAAAATCTATGTGTGGTAGATCTACATACATATGCATATATATAGCAGATATATATTAAATGAAATTGGAAATAGAAAGCTAACGGTTTAGCCTGATAAATCTGTATCTCTATCTAAATACTTCACAGACTATCAGCGACTCGTCCATACGCCAGTTGGCCGCTAGCTGCCCTCGGCTACAGAAGCTGTGCGTGTCCAAGTGCGTGGAACTAACTGATCTCTCGCTGATGGCCTTGTCGCAGCACAACCAACAGCTGAACACCTTGGAGGTGTCCGGCTGTCGCAATTTTACGGACATTGGTTTTCAGGCGCTCGGCCGCAACTGCAAGTACCTGGAGCGCATGGATCTGGAGGAGTGCAGCCAGATAACGGATCTAACGCTGGCTCACCTGGCCACCGGTTGTCCCAGTCTTGAGAAGCTGGTAAGCTGCCAAAGAGCCTATCTTAAAGTTAAGCATTTAATGCAAAGTCGCTTCACTTGCAGACGCTGTCACACTGCGAACTGATTACGGACGATGGCATACGGCATTTGACCACGGGTAGCTGTGCAGCTGAGAGCCTCTCGGTGCTAGAGCTGGACAATTGTCCATTGATCACGGATCGAACGCTGGAGCATTTAGTGTCGTGCCACAATTTGCAGCGCATCGAGCTCTTTGACTGCCAGCTCATTTCACGCGCGGCCATACGCAAGCTGAAGGTGGGCGTGGTAGCAATCAGCAGTAGCTATATATAGATATATAGAGTATATACCATTTGCTGAAATGCTTTTATTTGTCTTATTTGCATGCAGAATCATCTACCAAATATCAAGGTGCACGCCTACTTTGCACCTGTAACACCGCCTGCTGTGACAACGGGGCATCGTCCAAGATATTGTCGCTGCTGTGAGATTCTCTGAGATACGGCCATTGGCTTTGCCAGACGGATAATGCGCAAATCTGCCACGGACTGATGTTGGCCTGTTTGCATCGTCCTGATTGCCATGCTCCTAAGCCTGATGCTCATTGCGATCTTGTATTATCTCAAATTGCTTGAAAGCAACTATTGAACGGTGAATGGTGACTGATGGAATGATGAATAATGACGTCTGCAGGAGGCAAACCAGAACACAGCAACGCTCACACACACACACACACAGAGACACACACCAATAGAAACTGTGTATAACTAAAGCAAGATTCTAATAACTCGATATTTAAGCATACGAAACACACGAAATTCGTTGTCCAAAAACGAATCGAAGCAAAACATTTTTATTAGTCTTTAGTTTTATTTCTTTTGCAAGAGTTTCTAAAACTCGACCCTTCAAACATGTAAAATTGTGATTATTTTATTTAATATGCTAAGCTGTTATGTTAACTAAATAACGTTTAATGATTTTTGTGTGTATTATTAGCTATTATTATTTGTAAATCTCTCATTTCGGTTTCATTTTTTCTCTCGTTTCGTCTGTGAGAATAATTGTCAATCAAATTTGCTTTTGCATGTAGATATACGTACATGTGCATATGTATTTATACATGTATTTTCACCTGAATACTGTCTATAATTTCTGACACACACACATACGCGTACACACACAAGAAGCTTGCATGCTGTTTAGGTGTTAATGTAATTATGATTTTATGATAAGTGAGAGCAAATGCATATAAAAACTACTTATATATATATATATATATACATATATACATAACTGAGATTTTAATCAAGTCTAAACATGTCGATAGAACCACAAAGCGTTCACCCACACAAACACACACACACACACACAACTACACACACACATACCTTACAGTCAATGAATACTTTTAGGCTATTTCCCAATATAACTGTTGCTATTTTCCGGTTTTTATTTAATTTAGTGCCAGCTAAATCATATACATATATATTTAACATAGAACATTATACATGATACACTATATATATATGTATATATATATAGTTGCACACACACACACACATTGCACGTGTGTGTTTGGCTGCACACAATGTCAACGAAATACAAACTGTAAATTAAGCCATAACAAATCGAAAACAAACGCAAACTAAAACCTAAAAACAAAAACGAAATAAAAACAAAACAAAAAACAAATAATAACCATTCAAGTGCAAGCAAATCTTTTACACACAAATAAACAAACAAACAGATGGATCACGTTTCTAAAACACAATTCTCTCATACAATATATATATATAAATACTTAGTACATAAACACATGGTAAATAAATCAATATATATATACATTATGAGAAAAATATATATATATATTTAATTATATAATTCTATACACATATAATTGTCTATTTTGTAAATGTATTCCACACGAAAAGAGCGGGTACAACACTTCCAATTGGAACTAATTTTTGTCATCTCCCTTCGAGTTTCTACCAATTGGGTTTTACACAGGTTTCTTATACGAACTAAAGCTATGCTATTGGTTACTATGTATGTTTAGCTGGAGTATCAAGAAACCGAGCGCATTTCTTATAAGAATCAAATCTATCGTATTGGTGATTACACACATCGTATTTGAGTAAATTCAAGGCAAGCTGCCAGTGGGAATTTAATATTAATCTATGTGTAAATTTATTTGTTGTGCTTAACACTAATTTAGCATTTAAAATATCAATTGGTTGCCTGATCTAATGGCTTGTAGCTAAACAATCTATAGCTAATTAATTAATAATTTATGTGTTTCTATTAATATATGAACCAATAAGTGCATCAATAGATTTATAAAACCATCAACTTTAATTAACTTAACTTAAGGACTATATACAAAAACGACAAATATTTATTTAACTAAATAAAATGTGCTAAGCTTTCGAAGGTGCATATGTAAGTACATTAATATGTGTGCAAACAATATTTAAAAAAAAAAACTCATTTTTTACATTAAAAATTGGGAAATGCCAAAAATTATATTTCAAATGTCCGCCCTCTTCAGTAATGCCCCATCAACAACAGAGTAATGTAATAAATAGCTGTGACCCTGTTTTCTTCGATATGTGGTTATCGCTCAGCCACCACACTTATCGCCGTCATTGCTCGATGTTTATGAGATACATTTCGATTGAAATCGGGTTGTACTTGTATTAGTTTGTGGTTGACGAAGGCATATCGAAATAATAAACAATTATGCGGAGTTTATTAACAATCAGTTTTTGCAGCTATGATTAAAAGCGTGTGTATGTGTGAGTGTGCGCGCGCGTAATTATGCAAAGCACAGCTGCCAAAGACGCTCCAAACGGCGGTGAAAGTGTTATTGTTGTTGCTGTTGCAGCGATATTGGCTTTGTTCGCTAGCAGCAGCCACTGTGGTTCAATTTGTTGTGGCATTTGCTTTAGCAGCAACGATCAATTTTCCCTAATAAAGACAACCAAGAGAAATACAGGAGAGAAGAGCAAAAGAAAAGTTAGGCAGACAAGTGAATAACAATAAAATCAAACAATTGGCTTTTTTCTTTTAATTATTTTTTGGTTTTCCGCTTTGTATGCCAATAAACTTGCAGTGCTGCTTGCGTTTACAGTTACATTCATACATAGAGAGATATGTATATGCTGTAAGCTATAATAAGTTCAAGGAAAGCAGAAAGCAAAATGCGAGAAACAGAATATGCAATGGAGTAAAATAAATTGACGCCTTCTGCTTGGGCCTCGCCTTGCCTCTGTCCACTTCATATTATGTAAAAGGTGCTCTGTTGACTCTGGTGCACCTGTTTTTAGTGTGCGTGCAATAAATATTAATTCAATTCCTGCTGCATGTAATAATAATGTTTAAAACGGAGCCAAATAATCGATGTGCGAAAACTTACCGTTGTCGGCTATAAGCTGGCGCGGGGGCAGCAACAGCAGCATTTGCAGCAACAAAGCACAGCTGAGCGTCGGCGTTGCTTTATGTATGCGTGTGCGTTTGTGTGCAATTGAAAAAGGAAGGAGTGGAGAAGGCAAATAACAACAGTCTCAATCGGAAACAGGAGCAGCAACGGATCTGTGAAGCGAATCGAATCGAATTGAATTGAACCGTTGCAAATCAATATTTATTATGCGAAAGCCCAACTGAACTGCAATAATGTCTAAGTGAAGCGACAAAACTAATTGGCAACAACAATATAATCGGAAAGCTGTGGGGCAACCTTGCAAGTTCTTTGCCCTTCTATTTATTCGTTTGTTAAACGGTAAGTCGGCCATTTTGATTAACATTTCGCTTTGGGTTTGCGTCTTTTGCGAATTACGTACCAAATTAGCATTACGTATGAAAGTGTGTACCTATTTATATATAAAAAAATATTTATATAAAAGCAACAATCAAAAAAACATATAATTGTTTGTTGTTCATATATGAACCTACATTTGAATTTGAGTATAAACAATCTTAATGACAGTTAGCATTCGAATTTCACAAGAGAACTTTGAAGATTGCGATGTTCAGCTTAAAACTTGTTTCTGTTCTAAGCGTGCGTATGTATGTACAGATATGTATGTATATATAGATGTATGAAAAGATATGTACATCGCATAGCAACGTTCTACTTATATAGATTGTGTACTATATACATATACATATGCATGTGCTAGTCCTCATATGGGCATGAGTAAATGATTTCAATTCACGTCTCACTGCGTCTCATTTCAATTTTTTGTTGACAGACAAACAGCAGCAGCAGCAGTAACCTCCCTTCTTCCCATCCATATTTTGTACTCCCCCGTTGCAAGCGCACACGTTTGCTTTTGTTGTAGCCGTCTTAATCAGCTGTGTGAGTCTTGACGACGTCTACGTCGCCGTCACCGTCATCGCCTGCTTTGCTTGATTTTTTTCTCTTCTGGTCTTTGCTGCAGACAAAGAAACTGTTAGCGCGTCTCTCTCTGCCTTGCTGTATATCCTTGATTTTTATTCGTTTGCGTTTTGGAGCGTTATTTTATTTCCTTTTGACGACGCCAGCAGCGTGTAGACAACAAAGAAAATGCTTGACAGATTAACTAAGTGTGTGTGTTTGTATTGATTTTTATTTTACATACATATATGCAAATTAAAGATCATTAAGCGAGAGTAAATGGGAGATAACTGTAAAATGTTAAGTTAACTAATCAACAGAGCTTACAAGCAACACACACACAAACAAATATTTAGTAGTCATTTTTTTTTGCAAAATACCAAATCTTATTGCTTACCCAAATTGCGTATGTTTCTATGAATATACGCATATGAATAACTATCACAGTAGCTGAGTTAAAGATAGAACGAGTGAGAAACAAAGGGAAAGAGGGTGGGCAGAGAGATAGAGAGAGGACCGTTGATCTAACAGATTCACTGGAATTTCCAGTTCAATATGGAATAACTTACATCTCTTAGTGCTAAGTAATGGCATTGCAATTTCAGTAATTTTATCTTCTTACTTAAGATCTTGCGTCTACTTGTTGCTTGTTTTCCGCATTCGTCGACTTATCATCTCGGCCTTATCTTTGATATTTTATTCATCATGTTTTCCCTCATTGTTCTATTTATTTTGCATACCTTTGTGGCGTCGTAGCGTCGTGGCTCCAGCTCATGGCTAAGCATACATATTTATAATTATATATAGCGATGCGTAAATTCATAAACATTTTTAATTTCATTAGATCCCTAGAAATACGTAACTGTCAACAGCTTTAACTTTATTTCTATGCCTAAATATTATCTGACTATCAAATTGATGAAATTTTAAAATCTTTTAAACATTTAAAATAATACTTATATATGGCTATGTATATGTGTACGCATAAATATATATTAGCTAAATTATTTTAGACATGACCATCCATATTTTTTTTATTTATATGTTGAACAATCTAAAGAGGTAGTTAAGTATACAACATATAAGCAAGATTACCATAAATAGAAATGTTCATATATGCACAGACATATCAATATATATATGTATAAATAGACAGACAAGAGCAGACACATAACAGACTAAAACAGACACGTGAGAAGAGACGTGAAGAAAAAGCTTTTTGCGCCGTATATTGAAAAGTGAATAAATTCAGCTTATGTATATAAATACTGTTTTTAAATTATGAATTTAACCTACTTTAACTATCTTTAAAAAATAATATTTGTTGTCCATGATATTTAAAAGTACGCACTGAGAACAGTGGGTATTGTCAGGTCGTTAATGATTGTGAAATGCCAGAAATTAGTTCTTTTTCTTGTTTTGAGTCACAATGTCGAAGCGGTTGCGTTTTATATGGGCCTGCGGGCCAGATAACAGAATATAACGCGCACAGTGGTCTGAGCTTATCAAATACAGTTTTATTTCTTCTGATAATCTGGCAGTTGGCATGGAGGTAGAGAAGGTCTGTGCGCAGTTCAGAGTCATATATTAGTTTTAGTTGATAAAAAAATGAGAAATGAAAATTGTTGACAAAAAGTATATTAACGACATCATATGTACATATATATGTATGTATGTATGCATGTATGTGTGTTGCACTGCTCTAGAAATTAACAGACTGTTAGGAGAGCTGCTACACACTCAAACGCACTGACATCTACAGGTTGCCCTCTCTTTGCGAGTTGATCTGTCATTTACGCTGTACTCTAAATATGTTTCAATGAGCACATCCTGAGTCTGTTTGACACCAAGATACTTGAGCTATTTGCATTGCAATGCATTTGCTGTTTTGAGGGAGGTTGGTCACATTGATCAACAGCTTGCTTTATTATTTTGGAGACCCATGCTACGCAATATTTTCAAATTTTACCCCATTGCTACTTGTTGTTGTTGTTTAACGGACACTAAGCTAACAAGGGGAAGGAAAGGAGAGTTGTGGGTGAGAGAGAGTGAGCGCGCACAGTGACCCCGCCATCACCGACGTTTCTGCCGCTGCTGGTCTTGCTGCTTCCCGTTCCGTTTCTGTCGCAGCCGCAGCCGTTGCCGTCGCCGTCGCTCTCCTCCTTTTGCGCTTTATTTTACGTTATTTGGTTTTTGGGTTGAATGACTTTGGACAACGTGTGCGCAAAAAATAAAAAGAAAATAAGAAAATAAAGAGCGTAACATTTGAGCGTTGCCAGAGAGCCATTGAACCCACCAAAATGTAGACAGCTGATGGACGCCGCTTTGTGTTAGAGACGAAGAGAGGAGTGAGTGACTGAGTGAGTTGGTGGGCTATGAGTTAGAGATGGACAGTGTGAAGGACTGGTATGTAGATGTCTCGTGGCACCCTTCGATAACAGTTACAATACTTTTTTTTTTGTTATTTCTATTATGCTATGTTCTCATCTAACTTGCTTAATGGTGATAGAAGGGGGCTAGCGGCTAGACTTCAACGATTTTGCTTTGATTGATATTCGTGTGCATTGTTTTGATGGAATTTGCGTTTCATTTTTATACACCATCATACACACACACATGCGCACAGAATTTCTCTAAACACGTTAGCACAGAACAATTTGTTTAGGCACTCATATATATATAAATTATATGTTTTCCAGTCCTGTGGTGACTGAAAGTTAGGTTGAGAGGCGACTGTGCCTCTTATTGCTGGCCTCGGGCTCAGACAATGAAATAAGCCATTTAACGAGCAAATGACGGAGTGAATATTTATTTAAGCGGTTTACTGGAAGAACGCTTTTTAACCCTGCTTTTAATTGTTCTTTTTTGAATAATCGAAACAGTTAATTTTATTGGTTTTTCTTATTATATTCACTATTTTTAGTTTTACTTATATGACACCAATTTTTAGCATGTCCTATCAGTACGAGTTAAAACACGAGACTGATCTATATTTTTACAAATCATAGCCTCACCGGCGTAAGTAGAGTTGCCCTTGCCAGGGCTGTTCCTTAACTTGTCTAGCACCCGATAATAAGTGTTGAATAATACCTAACATTAAGTGTTATAAGCTAACTAAGTGTTATAAGTTAACTACCCCCCCCCTCAAGTGTAAGGTCGTCCTCGACCGACCCAATTCCAGCGACGACTCCTCGCAAGTGCTTCGCGGACTTCTTTGCGTCGATGATCCACCAAAGAGTGAGGCCAATGCAGATTAAAGCACAGCATATGGCTCCTCTTTCGGAGTGCCGTACAACGACACATCATCAAAGTGCACCATTTCGGTTCCTTGGTCGCATATTAGCAGCGGTGACCAGCGAGTCGGTGCAGGTGTTCTCGAATGAAATCCGCAAGTCGTTCTCATTCACATTCAATACGGAGCAGTATGAGCAGCGTACTGATTCTTCGCTATCGCCGTTCAGCAGGCGCTTACTAAGCTTGCTCTTGCGCCTACGTATGTGGCGTCTGTTGAAGCTGTTGGTGCACAACGTGGACGTGGGCCTTGGCATCGGATGATGCACACCAAAGTTGTGCAGCTGCAGCGACTTGAGTGTGGCTGGCGCCGTCGATGACTGGCCGTGCACGTGCCCGTGATGGCCGTGATGACTGTGTCCCACCACTCCAGCGATGCTATGAGCCGTTACTGGACGAGTGATGTGTGTAGTCTGTCGGCGCGCTCAGCTGGCGATTGAATTCGGCCTTGCGGCGCGTCAAGTCCGTCAGGCAGTATTTGTTCAGATGGCCGTTGCTGGAGACAGGGCTCTTGGGCGATGATGCCAGATGCTGCGTATAGGCCGAAGGAGTTGCTGCTCACGCTTAGCTTATTGCCGGCGTTGTGCAGCAGATTGTTACAGTTCTTGCCGCTGATCTTGGCCGACTTTTGCCCGTCGTCGGTATCGTGTTGCTGCTGCTGCTAGCCGCCCTGTACTCCTTGTCGTCGCTCTCGCTGCGCACCGATGCTCGATACGCAGGAAATGTCTTCGTCTTGCTCTTCAGAGAGCCGTTCAGCAGTAGCTGCTGTTGCCGTGCGGCAACTGCCGACAATGCCGGCAGCTGCAGTTGACGTGACGCCGCTGCCGATGAGGATGAGGATGAGCCGGCAGCCGTGGCAGGTGTCGACAGAGATGGGCAGCGGTTGGAGCAACTTGGTTCTAGTATGGATGAAGAGTCGCTTGGCTCTGCCGCCGCGAAGAGTTCGTTAGTTGTTGCTGGCTGATGAGCTTCTACTGTTGGTGGTGGTGCCGTGAACAAGGGGGTTTCCTCAACGATTCCGCTTGTAGATTTGCATGCTGTGGTTCTGGCTTAGCATCCAACTATGGGGCGAATAGAGCTGTTGCTGGTTCTTGTGGACGACAGGATAAATC